ATGAAAAGATTTAAGTTTGCTTTCCAAACAATGCAAATCATGGTATGATGCATGGTCAAAATTCACAAAGTTCTAAGATGCTTTACTCTTCATTGAAATCATGAAAAGATTTAAGTTTGCTTTCCAAACAATGTAAACCATCATGTCTCTCTGCAACATAGCACGTAAGCACAATTGAAATTGTCACTGCTCAACAGTTGCACATAACCATGTGTGGCGAACAGATGCAACTAACTGTATCCTATGGCGACCATGCTAGGCGTCAGCGGCTAGTGGTTCACACCAAGGCCCATGAAGGTGGTCTTGGCCAGACCTATAGGCGAAAGTTCATGACACATGGTGGCATGCACACTCCCAAACAACATTAGCACACCACACGTGCTGATCTTTAAAAAAATAGCACTATGCATCACTAAAATAATTAGTACTCAGTAGTCACAAACAAGCTGCTAGTACAAGATAGCAACCACGGCAGTCCACCTCTGGAAACGATGTTGTCTTGCATAATGAAGCAACATATTTCTTAATGGAAATTTCGTTGAACTTGTGGCCGCCCTGCACTCCAAATTTCCTTCCATCAGAACATCTTGGCAATCATATTAAGTTCTATAATAAATGTTACCTGTTGGACTGCTAACAGGAATCCTAACAATCGTATAAATTGAATGCTCTGTAGCCGGGTGACCTCACCAACTTGAATCACTGATAACCTCTCCAAGGTCACCCAACATTTAGAGCCACAGTTGATCAAAGCAACATTTTTTTTTCACTTTTGTCAGGCATATCCATCAATTTTAGTGGCGAATGAAGCTCATCTACACTCATTTTCAGCAGAACTCTAAACATAAGTGTTCTAGTGTTTGTAATTGGTATAAACAATCAAACCTGAGCATATAGCCCTGCTGCAAAATATATATCTTATTTCTTCCAAACTGAACTTAAGTACACTTGTCTAGTACTGGGACATAATACAAATTGTGAACTATGGTACACCTGTTTAATATCATGATATCCGCAATGGCATGGACCAAAAAAAAAAAGAAACTGGAGACCAAACATTCCTGCTGGTGTACCTTGGCATATAAAAGTTCATGCACGATTGCAATGTATTAGGCATTTCATCAAGTTCCTTCTATGCACAAAAGTGCTAATGGCCGAACATCTCAATCTACACCAATAATAGGTAGTTAGGGATAGGAGGAACATTATTGCAAGCATGGGACACCACAAAAGCACTGCAAATAGGATTAATACTCAATACTCACTGGCTGAAGAGATTTAGATCATCGGCTGTGTACTTGGATGTGGTCAGTCAAGATGGCTGTGCATGCACAACAACATGTGGCCCACCTGCAAGCTGACAGAATAGCAGGTCATTTGTACAATTGCTAAATCCATCCTCCATCTGTCTCATGAGATGAGAATCAGCTAATACAAGAAATTAAGCAAGCTGACCTGACCACTTCTCAGGAGAGACCAGAGACCTCGATCGGCTCGATCTAGGTGCGGCATTTGCATGAGTAGCTTTCGGGAGGGAGGGAGGCCAGGCCGGGTCAGCAATCAGCAGGCCACCCAGTGTCGCGCGGGGGCGGGGACAGTGTCGGAGGAGAGACGTGACGCGAGGGGAGGAAGAGGAAAAAGGCAGGGCAAAATTTGCCAGAGGTCCTCAGCTACAAACCACTCAAAAAACTGTATTGGCCAAAAGACATCCTAAAAATTGTACAACCACGCGAAATGACGAATGTGCGAAATGACGAAATGTGTCTGTCTATTAAAATAAGATAAAATAATGAGTTGAGTGTCTTATAGCATATTAGCAAGGATTTATGATGTCTTTTGGCAAAGATAATTTTTTTTGTGGTTCGTAGCAAAAGCCACACTTTAACGATGTCTTCTTACAAATTTTGCCAAAAGCAGAGATAGCCAGCAGACAGGGAAGGGAAAAGAAAAAGAATACACGAGCACTGTACGGCCGCCGCCGCACGCTGCACACACATGGCCTATTCGCTTGGAGGAATTCTGGAGGAATTTGGATGGTTTGGAGGAATGCTGGAGGAATTTGTGAGAGAAAAACGCTGTTCCAGATGAAAAAAGAAGCGAATCAAAGCCGGGTTTAAGAGCACGCGAACGGGGCCACAGATGGGACAGACCTCCCCGAGCTCTACCGGATTCGGTGAGGCCGGGACGGAGCGAGCCACAGATCGAGCGCTGGCGATGACGTCGCGCCCAATGGACCATATGCGGGGCCGAGCAGAACGAACGCGGAGCATAAGGCGGGGACGGCGCACAACGTGACGACGCGGGCGCGCACGGCGAGGACGACGGTGTGGGCGTGCCCGGCGAGGACGATGGCGCGGGTGCAAAGCGCGCGCACCGCCACGAGGGTGAGGGCGAGGGTAGAGCAATGACTATGGGGGAGAGAGATTGATCTTGGCTTTTGTGCCGCAGGAGGCGCGGGGAAGAAGGATCTTGCCTTTTGTGCCGGAGGAGACGCGATTTCTGTTTCCTTCTTTCACCGGGATCATCGCCGGAGAGGGAGCGCGGTTGCCGGGTTGGCCGAGAAAATCATCGTGCGGGGGCCGGGTTTTCGCACGCCGAGCGAGCGAAGACACAGGCGCGAGTTTTCGCACGCCGGGCGACTTCGTGTAGCCGTGTGGACGGAATCGTTTTAGATGTTTTAGTTGTAGAGATAAAACAAAAACTTGGGGGGAAATTGGGGAGAACCTGGTCACTAAATTGAATGGTGTAGACCGAGCATGCACAGTATTCACCAATCACCTGGATTTTCAAGGGTCCAAATTATCTGGTCTTCCTGAGCTGAATCCAACTGTAAGGACTGTGTGTGCCTCCATAAGACAAAGAATTCACTCACGCCAGCATTAAGATTGTGTGCAATGCCGCTTATCCATTTCCCGTTGAGAACGTACGACTTTCTTCTATCACGTTTCGTCCAAGGCTTAATGTCACGTCGGAAGTAGGTTTGGCTTGACTGTATCAGATCGCTTCTGCCGAGCTTAGAATGAAAACACTGTTGGTCTAAATAGTCATTTAACCTATTTATAAATAATTACTCCCTCCGTAAAAAAAAAAAATAGCTTTGATTGTTTTTTTTTTACCGAAGGAATAGTAAAAAATTAATTCTTAGGGCAACTGGAGAAGGAGACACTGTGGAATCGTCTGCGGGCGGTTTTTTTTGTAAAAGGGATTATTGAATTTTCTCTTCTTCGCGTTTATATAAACTTTACATCAGGGATCTGTAGGTAAAAAGCGTGACCTTGTTCACTGTGTACATCCGTTCGCTTGGATTGCGCGTTCATTACTGAAAATGTCAAGGGCTTTCGCGTAACATCCAAGAACCCGTGTCCTGGCTCTAGGCCTCCGCGAGGGGCTACACAATTTTGTGCCCAAACCCATGCGGGTCTCGGGTAACCATCGGGTCGCCCGTGAGGGTCAAGTGATCGGCTAGCTGGGGCCACGTTTAGTTCATCCAAATTCTTGAATTTAGCACTATGTAAAAAAAAAATTCCCCATCACATCAAACTTAACAAAATCAAAATCAAAAACTAATTACACAGTTTAGTTTTACCAAATAAAAACAAAACACTACAGTGCGCAACAGTGCCGGCTGCCACCAGCCAGCCAACATGCATACCACAGCGCTAACCCTTGGTCTATTTTATAGCTCACCAAAATGGCCAGTACGCAACGACTTGGCGAGGTGGGACTACTTGCGCATGCAGACATGTGAGCGCTACACATGCAAACACAGGGCACTCGCTGTCGCTGGCCATGCACATGGGCCACGGCCTGCTAATGCCCAGGTGCACATCATATGCCCTATGAGACAAATCAAATCGAGTGCATGCAATTAACCATGGCCCACTAGCTAGTTGTAGTATATTCACGTAACGAGTGTGTCCTTTATTTCCTTTGTTTTTTCTTGCATGTCTACCTTTTGTTTTCTAATTATTTTGTGACAATTACAAGTATAAAATTGCTGTTATAAATCGGGTTTAAAAAACCCATGGTTTGCGGGTTTGGGTACTACATCCCCAGACTCACGCCCATGAACCCGCTGGGTCTATCTTTTTATCCATTAACAAACCCATGATAGAGAAATTGATCCATACCTTTACGTAAAAACTCATCTGGTCTGTTGCCATCTTTACGTGGAGCGTCTGTCGTGAGCCCAATTCGTGGTGGGTTTTAATAAGGAACCTCAATTCGTGGTGGGTTTTAATAAGGAACTGATGCCCCAACCAGAGCTATTCGGCTATTCCCCGTTCCCCAAAGCCCCAAACCCGCCGCCGCCGCTCGCTCTGATGCAAATCCTCCGCCCTATTCTACGTCTCCTCCGACATCCTAATGTTGCCACCTCTCCTGCCCCGATTCACTGCTTTTCCTACCCCTCGCGACCTCTCCTCTGGTGGCCATCAGCGCACGCGCCACGAATTTTCGCACACATGGTGTTTGACAATCCATCTGTCCGTCGGGTTCCTCGGTATGTTTTCTTCTCTTGATGCTAAAGTTTGCGCCTTTACGTCGTTTCTGTAGTTTTAGATCTGGATTGTGGCCAATTTTGGGCTTTTATTTACCCTTCTCTGTTTTTTGAAGGCAAATGGGGGGATATGTGGTTTCTCGTTCTGATGCTAAAGTTCGCGCAGTTTTAGTTTTCGGGTCTGGATTGTGACCAACGTGGAGTTTTGATTTTTTTTCCTTCCTATGTTGGTTTTCGAAGGCAGGTGGGGGAATTTACTAGTTCCGGCTACCTGCTCGGCCGCCGTAGTTCCCCTAACAAGTTTTTTTTTTTCTTATCCCATATGATTCCCAAAGCAGACAAAAAGAGATCGAAAAAATTAGAATCGATTTCAGGCTTAGATAATGTTACTTACGATTTCAATGCTCACTGATGCAACCATCTTATTTTTATGTCAAATGCTGATATTGGCTTTTTATGCTCTCTAATGATTAATGATAGATTTCTTCATGAACCTTGTAACATGGCCACCATCAGTCGAGTAAAAGACGATGAGTCTTTTAAACCATACATGGGGGCATCCGGTTCTTCTGCTAACGTTATTATTATATCCGAGGACAACAAGCATTCTGCGGACATCCAGGGCATGAAAAACAATGATACCAGTGGCACAATCTTGGAGGTTATAGCTCGAGATGACAGAAGCGATAAGGATGCCTGTAGGGTCACCTCAGAGGTTTTATATGTCAAACGTGATACATCAGGGCAAATTGTGAAAGGAGAGCAAAGGAGCGCAACGGAAAATCAAAGGGGAGAAATCGTTGCCAGTGATGAGAAAAAAGTCAGTGATGATGAAGAATACACTGTGAAAAATATACTTGCAAAAAGTAGACACCGTGATGGTTCCATATACCGGGGTATGGATACATGGTGGAAAAGGGATTATCTTATTGCGGACCATAATGAGAGTAAGTGATCAATATCTCTTTTTGTATTTTTAATTTGTTGTTGTTGTTGTTATAGATATGATTTGTTTCCTTAAGCACAGCATATCTCTTTCCATATCCTACAACCACATATTTTATTGTGATCCTAGAGATTATTGTATATGAGCTGTGTGCGACATTCCCCCAAACTTTCATCGCCTTGCACTCTTTTAGTTATGACTTATGAGATAATTGCACTAGAGATCCTCACACTTGGACGAGAGTAGCACATCCACCCCAAACCATGAACTTTACTTTTGCAGGCCCTTCAACTTTCACCGTTTGCACAAATAGGAATCTGCGCTGTTACCTGACGGGAGAGGCTGAGGTGGCATACATATAGAGTTTTATTCACATGGGCTAGTACCTTATTCCATGCTATGTAATTAAATAAATGCCCAAATAACCATGTGGATCTGAATAATATAGTGCCTTCTCCCTGAAATTTGCTTCCATATCAAATCATGCTGCAACAGGTGATCATTACAGTCTTTGAGCATGTACATGCATGGCAGAATACACAGGAAAATGATAGATATAAGCGTAAATAGCAATCTAAATATGGGCATTCACACTGCTGTAGTTATGATTAGGTTTGAAATCTCCACACGTGCGGCTACAAACCGCCAATGATAAGTATTTCAACTCCTGGTATGAAACCTTAGTTCATATCGGGGATAGGGAGGATAACCATTGCCAAGAGGAAGGCCGGGCAAAGTCGGCGTGGAGGGAGACTAGAATATTTGGGGGTAACTGGATTGTTTGTTGTTCATTGCTTGCTTCATCCTAAATTGGTTACAGGGTATAAATAGAGGTGCCCAGCCCCTAGGCGCCCAGCCTCTAGCTCCTCGTTTCTCTCCCCATCAATAACTCTAATCTCTCATTAACTCTAATCTATTTCCCAGACTCTAATTGCCATTGATTACAGCTGGCACCCCCTGGCATACCGTCCTGGCTGCGTGCAGCCGGTACCCGGCTGCCCCACATGACAACTCCTCAGCCAGCAACACAATCAATATCCCAAGTCCAAGTTATGATTAGGTTTAAAAGTCTCCATACGTGCAGCTACAAACCACCAATGATACAAATATTTCAACTCCTCAGGTAGCAACACAATCAATATCACAAGTCCTCAGGCTGTTCACATACTAATAACCTAAAGGACTACTAGGTGTTGAAGGGGCCAACCAAACTTTCCAACACCCCTGTTTAACATGAGGACTGGGTTGCCACTTTCTAAAATGTACACCACTTCCCAAAACACATACTCTCTCCATCCCAAAAAACAAGTCATTTTAGAAATTTTAGGACAGATTAACAAGAAAGTAAAAATGACCTTGTTTGCCCCTATTTATCTGCCATATACGACTCTAATTGACAGTTGCATGCACATGCTAAATAAGGTATAATGACTTGTTTCTTGGCACAGATTTTGAATCTTAGAATGACTTTCTTTTTTGGGAAGGGGGGAGTACCACTTATCTAGCAAAATTATAGGTGGTGCTTTTTTTTGGCCGCTACGCAACCTTCACAAAAGGAGACATTACCTCACTGATTGATATCAATTCGTCTTGGTAGTTGTTGTGCACCTTAACCCTCTTCAGTACTTGTCTATCCTCCCTGCTTGTTGTTGTGTGTGGAGCATCAATTGTTTCTGACCTCATGTTGGATATGAAAGTGGGATGTAGGAGAGGTGCTTTTCAAGTAATTGCTTGGTTGTAATTTTGTGTGATGAATTCACACACATTCCTTAGCTGCGACTAGGGAAGAAAGCATTTAGAAGTGAAGTTCTATAGTCTAGAAGGTTGGTAAAGGAAACAGTATACCTAGTTTACTGTAGAGGTAGTCTGGCCTTGAGCTTTTATTGGTTCCTCCTCATCCTGTTGGTCTTCAAGCATCTCACTAGCTTCTTTCTTCCTTGGCTTTGTAGGCTTAATACCAGCTTTTTTGAAGTACATCTCTTCTAGTCGTGGTTCGGTTCGTTGAAATGTCTGTGTTGTTTGACTCCATGTTTGGACATCTTGTTTTTCCCTGCACCTCAAGTGGTTGCCTTTTCGTTGACCTTCTGTGCCTACCTGCCTTATTGTCATACAAAGGCGGGTTAGGAGGCTCATTAGTGTTAGCACATTCACTAGAATCTCTTATGTGAAATAACATAAGCTTTTAGGTGGTACTAGGACTCTTATCACATTACAAGGATAGGGGTTGCTCTCCTCCCTTGCTATTCTCAAGTGATACTAGAGGGCATTGAGTTGTAGCACCAATTGACTGGAAATCATTCCAGTCAACACCTAGCACACCAATCTCATATAAATAGATGGCACACGTTGTATGCTTTGGGACAAAAGATGCCATACAATTTTTGTTGGGATCTTCTCATTAGCCCTGTGCTCAGTGCTTTGATTAGAGCCAATGCTTTCTTTGAGTGTCCCTGAAGAACTTTTCGGTGCATGTGATACTCAAATAGCATATGTACTTTCGAATATCAAGTATTTGTTTACAGTCACAAGCTTAGATTATGACTTTACTTTTTATGAAGCTCGGTTGGAGGCAATGAAGTTATCAGATCCCACAAATTGTATTATTCGCAATGGAACTTGCACGGAACATTCTCCTTGTTGTATGCTGCAAATTCTATCGTTAAAGTTGGCTAAAATTCCAGTGGATTGTGGCGTAGCAGAGTTGTATGGATACATAGCAGTGCGGGATGAACTGGATCCATTGCTTAACTATGTCGTCAATTTGAGCAGGGATGATCCCATCATTGTGGAACAGGTGCACATTCATACTTACTGCAATTATTTCATGGAATACATGTACCTAACACCCCTTAGTATTGAGATTTGGCTGCAAGCGCCCCTTGCAGTATAAAACCACCTTGGGGCTGTACTGGTGGCAGTTTCGCCCACATGGCTCGTTAGGTGGATGCTGCCACGTGGGCAAAACCACCACCAGAGCCCCCCAAGAGAATCATTTAGGTGGTAGATGGTATGGAATAATTTAGGGGGGAAATACCTTGTGTTGTACTTAAGTGCGTTAAGTAGACTTATTTTCCTTATTTTTAATTACTATCTCCGTCCACAAAAGAATGCAATTATGGGATCCGCGCCGGTTAATCTAGCTCAAGTTTGACCAAGTTTACAATAAATAGTATTAGTATTTATGTGTCTAAATAAATTTATTATAAAAATATATTCTATAACTAATCTAATGGCACTTATTTTATATCATAAATGTTAGCATTTTTTATATAAATTTAGTCAAAGTTTAAATGGCTTGACTTCTTGAAAAGCGAGAATTGCATTCTTTTGTGGACGGAGTGAGTACATTATTATTCATTTCACAATATATAAGGCTAAACATCTCGCATGCATAAAACATATGAGGTTGGATCACTACATCCTCTCATATACATGAAGTTCAAATTTCTTTTACATCATTAAAGTTGGGATAGATTGTGAATGTTGTATTAACTGTGCACTCAAATTATTTAGTATACATGAAGTTCAGTTTGCACTCTTGATTTCCTTAATAATTAGAAATAGGATTAGTTTATTGTCGTTCCATATATATATATATATATATATATATATATATATATATATATATATATATATATATATGTATATATATATATATTTTTTATAGCCTTCGTGTAATAAAAAATGCATCAGTGTGATTAATATGTCAAAAATAGCAGAATAATAGTGCAATTTTTTGGTTTGTACAAGCAACTGCTACCTTCGTCCAAGGTGTATTTTGGTTTTGGAAAAGTCAGTTTTGGAAAAAATTGGTCAAATTATATCAATGTTTAGTGTACAAAAGTTGCACCAATGGATTGATACTAGTATTATTTTTTAGGACGCCGTTGATTTTGTAGCAATTGGCAATATATTGTTACAGAAATCAAAGGTCAAAATCCACTTTTGAAGACTTGCTCCTTCCAAGACGCACCTTACATTTGGATGCTTTACTACGAGAACATATTAAATTATAAAACTATGGGAGTAACATGTATTCAAAAAAAAAAACTCGTATTGAAAGTTTTGTACTATTGATTACTGCTTAGTACACTACACATTGATTTTCCTTTATTTATAGGCATATATGAAGATGGCATTAATTATCCCAGTCACTACATATGTCTTCTCTTTTCATTTTACACAGGGTTATTGTCTGGTTCATAAACCCGGGGTCCCTCGAGACAAGCTTGACGCCTTGGGCTTGGCCGGAGAACGACTTTGTAGCTCATGGGCCGCCCAAAAGGTCTAAAAACAACGGTAGGGGATGACTTGGCCAGGTCGTAAGCCGGAAGGTCCACCGAAAGAAACGAACGCCGCTCGACGACCTCTTCGCCCACCTCTCCGACCGGGGCGCTTCGCCCAGCGCCGGCCGTCTCCGGCGGCTGACTCTCGATCGGAAGGTTCTGGCCCAAAACGCCGCTACTCCGACCCAGCGTCTCCGACCGGGGCTCAGAGAAGCGCCACTCTCTTCTCCGATCCGGCACGGCCAAGACGATTGGAGCCATCCGACCGGGGATTCCCACTCGGAAGGGACCAGGGGCGAACGAAGAAAGCAGCGCACAAAGTCAAAACACGGGACCGGGACCATACCCTATACGTCTGCGGGAACAGTGCTCCACAACCGACCTGACACAAGCAGTATGGGAGGTTCCGATATTTGTGCCTACAGTATTGTAGGCGTCGACATTTATGTCTACAGTATTGTAGGCGTCGTTGGGGCTCCCATACGGCAAAAAGGCCCCCTACATGCCTCTGGGCATCGATAGTGGGCACCAGGATTTATCATACCTGGCACACGTGGTGGGGCTCCTCATATACTAACAACATTTCACAGGTATCGATGTCCACCCTTCCTGAAGAAGCCAACGCAACCCCTCATGTGCATCTGACATTCTACAGCGACATCAACAGTGTTATGCGTGCCAACCATCATCATTACCCTCACTCGGCGTGGGCAACAAGACTTA